TCCACTTGGCCTTGTTTTGGCTACAATAGTTTAATAATTTGTTATTACCATTACTCATTATCATTAATAAAATAATAGTCAGTCACTAGGGCTTATTAATATGTAATAATATGTATACTAAGCCTGAAGGTGGCGCTTTACTATGACGGCCATCTTGGATGGTACACATACATAACTCTGCATTGCTGCGCCATCTTGTCAACGCTCTAGTTGTTTAATAGCTCTATGGACTACTCATACAACAGAAAAAAACGTTGCATGGAGTTAGTGAAAAATGGAGATCTAAATGAAAAACAATGTATTTCAGCAAGTATTAAAACCTTTTTGTTTTATTTTAGGCCTTCTTCAAAATACCTATGCCACAGCAGTTGATTTTTTTTGCCGTAAAACCAAAATAGTTTCATGCATGCCGACTTGCCGATCGGTTAGCGTGAGCCCTGACTGAACTCTGCAGAAAATCCACATCGAACTTTGCATCGCGATGTAACACAAAATGTCGGAAAACTTTTCTTTGACGCATGTGCATTTGCATAAATGTCTACACACATACGCACACACATACTACACACAATAAAAAACAAAAGAAATGTGAGTGTGATTACAATAGTTCCTATTGCATTACATGCATAGGAACTAATAATGATTACTAACAGAAATATTACAGGTAAAGCTACATTATAGTGTACCTACATGACTGTAACAATAATTCTCGGCAGGAATACACATTTTTTTTTACAAGAACCAGTAAAATTTTGCAGAGGCTCAGTGTTCTTATTTTTTGGCCAATTTCAGGCTTAAAATTTTCTTATTTTGTTCTTATGTTACACGCTTTTTTTTACACAATTTTGCGTTTTTATGTTATCGATCATATCATGCTAACCAATTGAAATTTCAAAAATCACTTTCAGTTTCCATAATTCATACTTTTTAAGCAGAAACATTTCTTTTACTTGACAAGCGGATCACCTAACTTGTCCTCAGTGACGAATTCAAATCTAGTATTGTTCTTAATTTTCAAGCAATTTTAGCCTCAGTCTTCATTAAAAAAGCGTATCTTCAGTAGGAGGAAAAATCACTGCATTCTACATGTTGTTACTTTTGTTGTGAATTGGGTATTAAACTCACACAAAATATTTATTTACTCTTTTTATGGGAAGTTTGTGTTTAACCATCTCTATTGAACCTTGTCATCGTCAATGAAAGCCCAAGTCTGCTATCAAGGAGGTACAGTTATAAATAATTTAATTTAGTTTATTTAATACCGCCTGCTATTCACTGTTCTCCTGAAAAGTTCTAAAATCATGAAAATGCGATTGACTGGAATGCCTTGCCTATATGAGCATTGTGGGCTAGCCCTGGACTTGCCTGAAAAATTACCCAGAATACAGGACAGAACATCGCCAACGGCTTGTATCCCTTGGTAAAAGGCATGGTATAAATCTTATTATATACTGTGCAGTGGAAAACAGAATAAACACTAATCAATTCATACACTTAAGTACTTAAACTGATAATAGGGCAAGTCAAAGGTCAAAGCCAAATCATACAAATAAAAGGAAGAGACCAGATAAAACCTGCAGAATACAATTTGATGGTTAAGATATCATCACAATTAATGAGAATCATAAGTGACTGGTAACCATAGGGACAGTTTGAGAGCAGCTTGAAGGACTCGTGGATGGCGATCATTAAAAGACTCTTAATGAAACCTGCACACTTCAGGTACTTTAATAAGATTAAAAATTAAAATGTAATGAATTTCATTTCATCTTTTATTTCCCTTTTAAATAAATAAATTACAAAAAAGAGTGTCAATTTATTTACTGTGAGTTGGTATCTGTACAAAAAAGTCAAAGGCAAAAACCAAACACTTATTCTATACAAATATAAAATACTACAGGTACAGTGCGCACCTGAGTTCCAAAATCTCTTTTTTTCTTCACTCCATGTACCGGACCAGTGCACAGTTATCGGTAACCATGACTTACATAGCTGGATATGTTGTTATAATGTTCATGGTCTCCATGGTGATATAGTCCTATGATATGATATAAGCATTCATTAATAATAATAATAATAATAATAATAACAATAATAATAATAATAATAACAATAATTAATAATAATAATTATTATTATAATTATTAATAATTATTAATAATAATAATAATTATAATTATTATTATTATTATTATTATTATTATATTTAATGGCAATCATTGACTTGAAATAAAGTTGACATACTTAAATATATTATTTTGTCGTTACAGTAGTGTTTTTAATTGTTTGCTTATATATCGGATGCACACAAAATTAGTCAATAATGACAAGGAAGTTTTGTGGCTAATCATACAGTACAATATGTTTTGTTGTTTATATTATCAATAATTGTCAATCATAAATATCCCTTTGACGCACAATAAAATGTTGTTGCTGATACTGCCATGTTAGAACAACAGTCTTTAGTGCAGGAAGCATAAATATCCGTACCACTTGAATTTATGGATTAAAAAAGGAACATTCTTTTTTTACAGTACTGATTGGGGCAGTCGGTTTGGCAGAGCGATATTCATTCAGGTTCTGATCCTCGTTGTCGAGGGTTCGAATCACATGCTTGCACTGTTGACAGGTTATTAAGTGCACATATTTCATGGCTTATAAATAATATTGTGGCCGCCTCTCATCACTATTTATGGTAATATCAGGCCTGATTTAGGTACCTAGACAAAAAAAACAAAAACAAAAACTAGCAGAATATT